TATCTATCTATCTATCTATCTATCTATCTATCTATCTATCTATTTCAGATTGCTCACATGTTTCTGTCTATCATTTTAAAGAAATAATTCTTCATCTGATCTTGTGAAAATAATAACGAATGGAGGGTGAATAAACGAACTGGTGATTTCTTTCCGGTACGAACGCACGAAAAATGGAATAAACAGCTTATTCTTTAATGTGCTAATATATAATTTACTTAAATATCTCAGAATACACCGACATATATAACCCTGTATACACCTATATATGGCCATCCTGAGTATGTCGATAAACTACATCCACGTCCTGGGTAAGAGGAACAAACTACGTCCAACACCAAGGCAAGGCCTCCGATCAGGAGGATTTGAGCAGTGTGGAATCACCTCTTAATTGCTGTTATTCCCAGGTCCACCTTCATCCGGGTGGTAGAACCTGTTAAGGTCCCAGCTAGGGGTAAATAGTTGACCCCCAAACTGGGGTTAAAACACTATGAAAGTGTAAAAATAAGTTTCAATACCAGAAATACTTTGTAAAAATCATTATTACCAGCAATAAATTTTTGAAGAAAAATTATTACCAGGCAAACAATTTAAAATAAAAAGAATATCAGCTATACTTTTAAAAAATACCAGCAATATATTTTTGAGAAAAAAAATACCAGCAATAAAAATATTGTCAGAAGTAAATAACCCGTTGAGGTTGAAATGCCATAAAACAATACGGACTATACATATTTGAAAAAAAATACCAGCGATACATTTTGAAGAAAAAATATTACCACAGATTTTTTAAGGTAAAAAATATTATCAGTGATTCATTATGAAGAAAAAATATTACCACAGATTTTTGAAGGAAAAAATATTACCAGCGATACATTATTATGAAAAAAATATTACCACAGATTTTTGAAGGTAAAAAATATTACTAGCGATACATTATGAAGAAAAAAATATTAACATAGATTTTTGAAGGAAAAGGTATTACCAGAGATATTAAGATGAAAAAATATTACCACAGATATTTGAAGGTAAAAAAATATTACCAGCGATTCATTATGAAGAAAAAAATATTACAACAGATTTCTGAAAGAAAAATATTACCAAGTATACATTATGAAGAAAAAAATATTACCACAGATTTTTGAAGGAAAAAATATTACTAGCGATACATTATGAAGAAAAATATTACCATAGATTTTTGAAAGAAAAAAATATTACCAGCGATACATTATGATGAAAAAATATTATCACAGATTTTGGAAGGTAAAAATATTACCAACGATTCATAATGAAGAAAAAAAAATATTACCACAGATTTCTGAAGGAAAAAAAAATATTACCAGCGATTCATAATGAAGAAAAAAAATATTACCACAGATTTTTGAAGGAAAAAAAATATTACCACCAATAAAAACTGTCGACATTAAATAAACCATTGTTGTTGAAATGCCGTAACACAAACCTTACCAAACCAAACCAAACCAAATCCATTCATATGGTGATTCAGAAAAAAACTATATCCGACAGAAAAGACTCTGATCGGGTGGTTTGAAGGAGCGTGGAAACAGCTCTTAATTCCTGTTGTTTCCAGGTCCACCAAAACCCGGGGTGGTAGCACTTGTTTGGGTGTCGGCTAAAGATCAAAACACTATGAAAGTATAAAAATACATTTTTATAGTAAAAATAACAAGAAATAATTTACATAATTAAAAAAAAAATAACAGAAATTTATAGTTTTAAAAAAAAAAACTTTTTTTTTCTAAAAGAAATCACTAATGCTCCCAAGAATGTTCAATTTCGGCTTTAAAATCAGACATAAAGAGTTGTAATGGCGCTAAACAAACAGACAAAGAAACCTCAGAAAAAAATTATATAAGTTAGTATTCTAAATATAGTAGAATCCGTCATATCCAGAATCCCTGATATCCGAAATCCCTCATATCCGGAATCCCTCATATCCGAAGCCCCGCATATCCGGAAATGATTTTCATGTATATACTTGAACTATTTGGGTGAAAGTAACTGATTTGAATTTTTGTGATCTTCAGGTCATTTACTTTGGATAATTGCTTATCTCCCTAATGTCGTGCATTGGCGCAAAAGATGATGGGAATAAGAGGAAAGAATGATAAAGGGATACATTTGCAACAAGATAGCGACGAGATACATGATTGGGATGAAACCTGGACTGAAATTTAAAAAAAGCTATTGAAAAGGTTGTCAGTTTTATGGAAAGAAAGCCAGCATTCAGTTATGACGATTGCAATAACGCACACAGAGTTAAAAACGTGTCTTTTGTTTAAAAATTTCAAGAACAAAAGCAAAACGAAATGAGAAAAAAGTTAAGAATGACATTAGAAGAGAAAGAATCATCATGCAACAGCGATTAAAAAATCCTCGATACATTATTTGTTTTGCATATGTGGCATGCTTATCTTAATGAATTTTCATTAACATTACATCATTTATATCTTTCTCCTTAAAATCATTTCCGTTATATTTCACTCACCATTAGCTTATCTTGTTTACGATAAAACATTGAAAATAAATATTAAACCTGATTTCGGTTCTTTTATTTTTAACCTAAATATAACCCCTCATGTGCAGACTTTGTAAGCAATTCCTCAGATCCGCAAGGCCTTCTTAGTCCGGTTGTCATGGATTCTACAGTATAATTTTATGTAATTTTGTATTCTAATAGCTTTACTATTCCACTTTCAAAGGATCTCAAATTTTAACAGCATTTGTAGAAACAACTCAAAATTCTGTTTCATATTTTTTTCTTTCCAGGTACAGAAATATCATTAAGTGGAAAACGTAAAGGCGTTTTGCATGTTAGAGAATATATGATGAAAAAGCTTTCATTTGTGAGTGAAATAACTAAAATTGTACCAACAGCAATGGAGTTTGGGACATGGCTTAACTAATTGTTGTGGTAGGATCCACCTAATTTGCATAGTGGAGTACCGACCATATAAATATGGTTGGTACCGGAAAGACGAAAGAGGAGGAATCAAGAGATTCAATCCAGAGACTCTGCCCGACTGCAACTAAGTCAACCCATTCTCCAGGAACGGTCTTCCCAAGAAGATACAAAAGACTATATGTAAATATTGTGTACACTTTCTTGTTTCAATACATTTTGTTCTAAGTACATTTTGTGTTGTATTATTATTCCATGCATTAGTCAAGTTTCAACACTAATTTAAAAGGGGAAGGTTTTATGTGGAGAGCATAAATGATCCAGACGACAACCTTTCGGAAGAGATGGTCGAACAGATTTGGGAAACAGGAATATTGAAAACTTGTGAAATCCTTCAGTATCTGACTATATTTCTGAGATAAGGTATTATGTACACTATTTACATTAATCGGACTATTGTCCTCATCTTTGTTGCCATATTTATCACAACGTTTCGGCCCTTCAGTATCTGTCTATATTTCTGAGATGAGGTATTATGTACACTATTTACATTATTCGGACTATTGGCCTCATCTTTGTTGTAATATTTATTACAACGTTTCGGTCGTTGTACGCTCCGGCCTTCTTCGGGTCGTTGGAATGTCGAACCGAACCCCTTTTTTTTCACTCACTGTAGTAGACTGCTCTAGTTCCTCAAGGACCCAAAGAGTGTGAGTTCAATACATGGTAAAGGCGGTGGAGAACTTGGAGAGATGAATTAACAGGAGATAATTGATAACTGACATACATTAGACATGGCACTTGGAACTAGAACAGTCTACCCCAATGAGCGAAATAAAGGGTTCAGTTCAACATTCCAACCACCTGAAGAAGGCCGGAGCGTACAACAGCAGAAACGTTGTAATAAATATGGCAACAAAGATGAGGATGATAGTCCGAACAATGTAAATAGTGTTGTGAAATCCTTGATGAAATTTACATATCTTTGAATTTCTCTGGCAAATTTTTGACGAATAAATCTTATTTTGCTAAAAAATAATCCTGTTTATTTCATTTTCCCAGACATGAAGTTATTCATATGTTTAGATCACGGATGATATAACATTTTTTAAAACACCCTGTATATATACACATATAGATATATGTGCGTACATTTGTATGGATGAGAGAGACCTATACATAGGAAGACATAATGATACACGGGTAAGTTCGCATATTCTCGGCTCAATGTGGGGATTCACTTTTTTTTATTTTATTATTTTCTGTTTCTAACGAAGCAGTTACTTTATTTATTTTCACAGACGCATAAATTGAATCCGCTTCGGAAAAGCAAATAAAAAAAAAATAGGCAATGAAAACCTGAGAGGCTGGTAGGGAGATAAGGACGATGCGGGATGAAGAAATGAAAGAAAGAAAAAAAGAAGAAAACAATGAAAATAAGAAAAAGGAAAGAAGACCAGAAAAAGAAAAGAAAAAAAAAATGGCGGAAAAAAAAAATCGTTGAACGTCTCTCATTACGCTGTTATCGTCAAGACAGGAAGTGGTCGGTCCCCTGCTATTGGGTTGCTGTTTAATAGGGAACAAACAAAAATTAAAGGATCAAGAATGAGATTTAAAGAACGCTTGAAGATGAAACTGAAATAGAAGAAGGGGAAGAAGAAAAAAGAAAGAAAGAAACTGAAAAGAAAGATAAGAAGAAGAAGAGATTTATAAGAAGAAAAAAAAGTGTTGGGGAAGAAAGAATAAAGGAAAGACGAATTATCTGAAGAAGAAAAGGAAATGCATGAATGAATTACAACGGGAAGGAAAGGATCGAAGAAGGTTGATGTGAACGAGAAATAGCATGAATAATGGGTGGCATCAAATAAATCGCATGATAAATGTCTAGAGTCAAGACAAAATAGAATAAAAAGACAGACAGAGATGCAGGAGATCTAAAGAAAAAGAAAGAAAAAAAGAAATGAAAATAAAAAAAAATGTCAGGTAATGAAGAAAAATGAAGGAAAAATAATTAAAGGAAGACGAGAAAAGCAAATAATAAAAGTTTTTGAAGGAAAAAGAGAAAGAAAGAAATGAACTAGAGCCTAAGAAAGAAAGAAAGAAAGAAAGAAAGAAAGAAAGAAAGAAAGAAAGAAAGAAAGAAAGAAATGAACTGTAGCGTGGGAAAGAAAGAAAAACAGAAAGAAAGAAACAAATGAGCTGCAGCCTGAGAAAGAAAGAAAGAAAGAAAGAAAGAAAGAAAGAAAGAAAGAACGAACGAAAGAAGAAAGAAAGAAAAGAACGAACAAAAGAACGAACGAACGAAAGAAAGAAAGAAAGAAAGAAAGAAAGAAAGAAAAAAAGAAAGGAAGAAAGAAAGAAAGAAAGAAAGAATTGAAGTAGTGTCTGTGAGAGAGAAAAAGAAAGAAAGAAATGAACTGCAGTCTGGAAAAGAAAGAAATAAAGAAAGGAATGGAGTAACGTCTATGACAAAGAAAGAAAGAAAGAAAGAAAGAAAGAAAGAAAGAAAGAAAGAAAGAAAGAACTGTCTATGAGAGAGAAAACGAACGAAAAAAAGAAATGAATTGCAGTCTGGAAAATAAATAACTAAATAAATAAAGAAAGAAAGAAAGAAAGAAAGAAATGTAAAATGTCTAGGAGAAAGAATGAAATAAAGAAATGAAGGACCGTCTATATGAAAGAAAAAGAAAGAAAACAAGAAAGAAAGAAAGAAAAAGAAAGAAAGAAAGCAAAAAAGAAAATTAGTAACGTCTTTGAGAAATAAAGAAACGAGAAACGTCAAGAAGAAAGAAAAAGAAATAAAGTAAGAAATGAATTGCAGTCTGGGAAAGAAAGAGAGGAAGTGCAGCCTAGAATTTTGCCATTTTCAAAATAAAATATGCAAATGTCGTTAGTCGCCTGTGAAAATTTCAAACTTAAAACCGATGCTTGTTCAGTGCCTTTCACGATATATATATATATATATATATATATATATATATATATATATATATATATATATATATATATATATATCACCAAGAGAGTGATTAATTGTTTTAGGTAAACTCGAAACTTGTTAATTAGAAGAAACGTAAATCACAATATTCCCATTTCTTAATATCCAATTTCCAAGAGATCAGCATTTTTACGAATATTGTCTTGAATTTATTATCATTTCTGAAATTGGCTTTCTAAAGTAATTTCAATGAAATATTTGATTTTATTTCGGAATATTTCAAATAAATTAATACAAACAAAAAATTCTAAGTCACTCGAATCATGAGGAAAAATTACGTTTTCGTATTTTTTATAGGCCGTTTCAAGTAGTGAGGACAAAATGAAAATAAAGTGCAACTTACAAAAAGGGGAGGTTATGTATTCAACCTTCTTTTCTCGGTAAATGTGTTAAAAAACAATGATCTGTATTATCATAAATAACTACACCCTGAATCTCTGGATCATCCTGAGTTTCTGTTACTGCTATTTTAAATTATTCTTTTATTGACAATTAAATTTAACAATAATTTCATTTCAAAAGGTTTTTCAAAAATTTCACTAGACTATTTAGTCCTGTGTGTCGATTCTTTCCCAAAATAAACAGTGATGCAGAAGTCACTAAATACTATAAATACTATAAATACTAATCAAAGAAAATACCGTGTTGAAAACTTTGCAGGCTCATCTCATGCAACAAGTCAATAAAATCCTGCTATAGTTTCTTTTATAAAAAAAAAACATAGCAGAATTCTATCGACTTGTTTGGATTTGCTAGAGATTTGGCACTTCCTCACAGATTTCTCCTGACCAGAGCTAAAGAATAGATCCATTCCTTTTTATTTTTACAGTAAGATTCAGCCTATATAAAGGCCGGAGGCCACTCAAGGTAGAGAGTTATATTAAGGTGTAGTTTATGTAGATAAGAGAGAAAGATAACGATTAACTCTAGACTTGAACATGTTAAGATTGTAGTAATTGGGGAAACATCATCGTGTGAGTCTTTTCGACAGAGAATTGGTTTGTAGGAAGAAGCTGTTTGAGTGGAACTTACTTCCCACCGATCGTATACGGAGGAAATGTGGATGTTTTGCTACTATGTAAGTGGCATGGCGGATCCAAGCCGTGGAGGTTAGAGCTGCCGAAACCAAGGAATGTAGTTCGTCTGAGCACTTTCCCTGGTAGTAGCGACAGAGCAGTGAGAGGTTCGCCACATCTCTCCTGTGAGAGAGAGGTTGGAGTGTAGAAAATAATTATCCCCCTCCCCAAGGACTCTGAGACGCTTCTGAACTCTATCAAGACTGGAAATTGAAGAGCGGGCAGCTCCCGTCCAAATACGGCAACAGTATTCCATGTGGGTGAGGCACAGTGGGGTAATGGATAGCGGCCCGGATTGAGGAATCGGAGGGCCGAGTTCGAATTTCACCCGAATCCATAACGTCCACTCCCGTGCTAATACCCTTAGGAAAAGTATGAATCCTCTTCTTCTCCCCCCAGCTATGGGTAAATAGTAGGACAGACCGGCTTCTATAACCTTAGATATAAACTGGTCTACTTCGGAAAGAAATGGCAACCTACTGCGGGAAAAATCTGCCTCGTCAGTCATGTATCGAAAGATACATGATCGCCTAAGCGTCTATCACGCATGGCACATAACTGACCAACTGAAAGGGATAATACACTTGGGAAAGGTTTGAATTCTATTCTTCCCCCAGCTATGGGTAAAATAGCAGGAAGACCGGGTTTTATAGCCTTGGATGGTAACTGGTCTACCGCAGAAAGGAATGGAAAGCTACTGCGGCAAAAAAAAAAAAAAAAAAATCTGCCTCGTCAGTCGTGTATCGAAAGTTACATGATGGCCTAAGCGTGTATCACGCGTGGCACATAACTGACTGACTGAAAGGGATAATACACATACGAAAGGTGTGAATACTCTTCTTTCCCCCAGCTATGGGTAAATAGTAGGACAGACCGCGTTCTGTAGCCTTGAATGGCAACTGGTCTACTGCAGAAAGAAATGGCAACCTACTGCGGAAAAAAATCTGCCTCGTCAGCCATGTATCGAAAGATACATGATCACCTAAACGTGGATCATGCATGGAGCATAACTGAGTGACTGACTCCATCTACATACATACATTGTATTTTTAAGGATTTTGGAAATGTTCATGCCTTATATAAGACATTAGATTGCAAAATTAGATAAATTGGATTTTTTTTCTCCGTCTGTTTTTTCTTCTCAAATCTGCTTGCCAATGTTCGCAGAGACATTATGTGAAATAAAAGACATTGACATACAGAAATAGATCAAGTCAAACTAAATATTAGACAGAGTACAAAAAGCCATAACTCAAACGAAAATGAGGCAAAAGTGAAAATAAAGAATATGACGGGGGTGGGGAGGTAGAAAGTCAAACAAATGAGATACGAAATAATTATTTCACAGGAAACGAAACTGAAGAATCTAGGTACGTCATAAACAATTTCACTGATTCAGATTCTGTCACTGATGAAGATGAATCAAACGACATTAGAGCAGAATTCCTTGAATGCAACAAAGTTGAAATCACTGAAGCGAAAAACCACATCATTCAAATAATCAGCAAAGTAACTCTCACACAAATGTCAGAAAGAGGCCAGCTTGCAAAAGCACAAAGCCCAATAAACATACTTTGTAAATATCTAATACTGCATTGCAAACATTGGACAGACTGCTGGAGAAAACTTTACAGAAATAAATAATGTAATATATGCATTAGCCTTAGTGGCTACTGAAAAAAAAACAATGTCAAAGTTTAAACAACAGATACATAGGACCTCTTTGGAAGGCAAAATTAAAGCGAGAATTTGAGGAAATCAGGAATGAATTATCGACATGAGTTGATATTTCAAGGGATGCAAATATTTCAATACGGAAAAGCAAGAAGATCGAGCGGAAATCTAAAATTAAAGCAGTAAATAAAATTCCGCTAGTCAAGGAAATACTTCAACAGAAATTGAAATTAAAGGCACAGAGAACAAAACGATATGAAAAGTGTTGTAGGTCCTACAGACAAAATAAGATATTTCAAAGTGTCCTCAAGAAGTTTTACAAGGAAATTCTAAAAGCAGTTATAGAAGTCAAAAAGCAACCATCCATTGAAGACTAGCAGTAGAGCCCGGCGTTGCCCGGGGATGTAACAGTAAGAGATAGATCAAGTATCGACCATCATAAAGACTGAAAAATATAATTGACAAAAATTATTGTTTAAGGTTGACGGACACGCATGTCTTAATTAGTTTTTTTTTGGTGGGGGGTGTTTTTTTACGAATTGGTCAAACCCAAACTAAAACAAAAACATTGTTTTCAATCGTTATGAGTCTACCGATTGAATAGAATTTTATTTTAAAAAATTGTCTTGTAAATGGAATTTTAAAGCATTCTGAATGTAAAAAATAAAGAAAAAGTGTGCAAGACAATAAGAAACACTACCTGCCAAAAAAAAAAAAGGAAGTTTTGTTGAAATCGGTTGAAAAATGTAGGAAATCCGATCCCATATATAAACGAACACACAGACACACACACAACCTGGGTTTTGTAATAAGTATAACTCGATATGAGTTGTCCCCCTTTCATTCTGGCCATAGTGATGCCTATTAATCGTGTTTTCAAATTGATTTCGTGCAAAAACAATTGTGTTTTTCCAATTTTTAGCCCTGTCAGAACCACCGCAACTTAATTTTACGTAGTCCTGTGAAGTTTTGTTGAAATCGGTTGAAAAATGTAGGAAATCCGATCCAATATATAAACGAACAGACACACACAACCTGGGTTTTATAATAAGTATGATGTGCGAACATTTTGGTAGAATATTTGGAGCAACGCAAAGGAATATAATTCCAATGCAGAATGGATCAAACGAGAACAAGAAAGAATGAATGATAAACCGAAACAATAAAGCCAAAAAAATGAGGTAAGCTCTAAAAAAATAACCCCGTAAAAGAAATCTCCAGGAAATGACAATGCATCCAACATTTGGCTCGATCATATGTTATCAATCAATAAAATCCTTTGTTATATAGGAATAAAATGTCGCTGCCGACACTTGAGTTTGAAAATAGATCGTTAGTGAGCAAACGCAGGCGATCCCTTTAGTAAATTAAGCAAACCACTTGACACAATAAAAAATGCATTAATAGGAAGACGCACGACGTCAAAAGGATCTTCATTTCTAGTTTATCCTCTATACTATACGGACCGCTATTCTCTACTCTATTCACTATACTATTACTAGAGATAGAAGGATCACTAAACGCATTAATATCTGGCGGTTACTATTCGTGTGCGTATTATCGAGCAAGTATTATTAGTGCGAGTGCTACGTCTGACACCAGTATTGTTCAACGGCGTTACTATAGTTGTATCTGCGACTACAAAATCTCTACTATATCGAGCATTTCAAAAGTGACAATGAGTATTCGTTGACATCAGAAAATTGGCTACGATTGTTCGTTGACATCACAAAAAACTTGTGTCCAATGATAAATAATAACCTGAATGAAATTACAGAATGGATACATATTTCCTACCAAAAAACGGTAAAACAGATGATTCAAAATATTATAGGCCAATAACATGTCTGCCTAACATTTATAAATTAAATACGTTTGGTGGTGGTGCAGTACAGTTTCAATATCCTTAAGCGGACCATAGTTCAATTTAAGCGAATGGATGTCAAATCGCGAAAGCTTCTCACGTGTCAAAGCACGCATCATCTTAAGGCCAATGTTGGTCGTCTGTATGTGTCCAAATGTGAAGGAGGCAGAGGATTATATTATCTAGAAGTGCAGACTACATTATGTCATCAAAGATATATTGCAGTCTAGAGGGACTGTCATATTAATGAGACATTTTTGTTGTTTGCATTCTCTAATAAAGATTTCTGGGCGATTAGCTTTCATTGTTCTGTCTGAGTCTATTACAGAGTCCCATAAAATTGTTACAGCTTATATCTCCATAACCGGTTCTGGGTTCTTCTTCTTCTTCTTCTTCTTCTTATTATTATTATTATTATTATTCATAATAATAATAATAATAATAATAATAATAATCTTGTTCCATTTCCCTAATCTTTGTGACAAAGACTAATTGAATGTGTTTCTATAATTCTAATTATTATTATTATTATTATTACTATTAATAATAAAAATAATAATAATAATAATAATTAGAATTAGAATTATAGAAACACACTCAATATTATTATTAATAATAATAATAATAATAATAATACTAATTAGAATTATAGAAACACACTCAATAGATTTAGCCTTTGTCACAAAGATTAGGGAACTGGAAGAAGATGAAGCGTATAATTATCTAGGAATTAGCGAAGGAGATGGTATACACCATACCCAAATGAAGGAGAAGGTAAGAAAGGAGTCGCACAGGCGTGTGTGTCTGGTACTAAATACCGTGTTGAATTCAAAAAACAGAATATCAGCCATAAACACCCTGGCTATCACTGTGGTGCAATACAGCTTTAATATCCTTAACTGAACCATAGCTGACATTAAGCCAATGGTCGCCAAAACGAGAAAGCTTCTCGCCTGCCACTGCATGCATCATCTTAAGGCCGATGTTGGTCATCTGTATGAGCCCAGATCCGAAGTAGGCAGAGGATTAATTCAACTAGAACTGTCTTTCAAAATTGCAACAACCGGTCTTCAAAGATACCTAAAAAGATCACGATTAGTTCATTCTTTAATAAAGGAAGCCCCAAAATTCAAAAGGGTATTTCAAATGGGTGAAGAAGTTCAAGTAAGCCATGACAAATGCAATGAATCAAATGACGAAACCTCTTCATGGTCAATACTCTGTCACTACCAAAAAAGCTGATGTTGACAAACCCCATACCCACCAGTATTTACGTTGTGCAGGGTTAATGTAATGAAATAATCAGGCACCCCCATGAATAATTACACTATAGGTATTAAGTACCTATAAAGTCAACTGTCTACGAGAGACTTGGAAGAGTGTGAGAGAGAGAAGACGCAAGCACGTCCGACCTTCCAATTAGTGGCACTCCATACTAGATTCACCTGTGTGTATAACTGTACTGTATTTCATATTGTATTGGTTGCGTACAATAAATCTTTCTTTTAGTATCCACCTGGGGTTACCTGTTTATTCCCTTAGCGCGGAATATAACAAGAGTTAAAAGCTGAAATAGAAGTTTTTATTCTTGCTACAAAGGTTCAGTGTTTGCTAATTAGAAATTTTCAAAAAGAATCTGAAAACTTGGGTTAACATGAAAAGCAGATTCTGTGATATATCTCCTGAAACAGTTGAGCAATCTTGTATCAGGTTATACGGTATTATCATCCACAGAATATGAAAATTCGCAAGACAGTGTGTGATAATATCAGCACTAGAAAATCTGCAACTTTTGCGAGAAGGAAACTGCTAGAAATTGCTATGAACACCACCTAGACCCGGCTCAAATCACAGGACTTGTAACAGTATTATGGGAATTTATCAAAACACACAGACAAAATATTCAAATATAATCACAGAGAAAGTGATCTAAGATCACAAAACAAAATGTGCTTTCTTATTGACATGGCGGTATGTGCAGACTATTATGTATCTTTGAAGATCTTAGAAAAGCTATCAAAACACCTGAAGTGGATGTCTGAAAAAATATGGCACATTTGGATATCAATGATTCCAGTTAGATTTGGAGCCGTCGGAGTGATTGGAAAAGATTCCAATAGACTCACTGAAGGTAATGCTAGTAGACTATAGCTTAAAGAAATCCAAAATGTGTACTCACAAATACACATCACACCTTATGAAGAGCTTTATCTCTGTAAAATGTGTGTGACCTTAGGTTTTTTATTTTTTGTTTGATTTTTGTTTTTTTAACAAAAAGTGATCAGTGGAAAAAAAAAATCATGAAACCATTTCTGACCTTAGGTTTCTGGTTGGGATCCGGAAGGAAATGTATATAAAATAGAAATCAACAATAATAATAATAATAATAATAATAATAATAATAATGAATATAAAACCCGGCATGACAGAGTGGGTCAATATCTGCACTGGAAAATCTGCAACTTCTACGGGAAGAAAACTGAAAGAAACTGGTATGAACAGCAACCAGACGCCGTTACGGAGATAGGACCTGTTACAATTCTATGGGACTACACAATACACACTGACAGAACAATCAAAGCCAACCGCCCAGATATTGTTATTAAAGACCACAAACAAAAACGGTGCCTCCTTATTGATACGGCAGTCTTTGCTGACTGCAATGTATCTTTGAAGATATTCAAAAAGCTGTCAAAAGACCTTGAAATAGAAATCTCGGAACATCAACAATCCCTGTTGTAATTGGAGCCCTAGGACTGGTTGGAAAAGATTGCAGTAGATTAATTGAAGGGATCCCTGGAAGCCCATGCCTTAAGGAAATAAAAAAAATGTTCTAACGAGTACAGCCCACACCATACGAATGGCTTTGTCGATGTATTTTTTTTCAAGTGGAAAATGTCATGATGGCATTTCTAACCTTAGGTCCCTGGACGGGATCCGGAAAGAAATGAGTACGCATCAGAAATCAAAGTAAATAAAACAATAATAATAATAATAATAATAATAATGAGTATAAGCGAAGACATGATTCTATTCGTAAGGGAATCCATTTGGAAATATGCCATATTTTGGTTTCAGTGTGAAAGAGTCAGTGGTAGAATTTGGCATTCATAAGATATGGAATTTCTCGGATCAGACAGAAGACAATGTTGAAACAAGAAGTGCCAATCTTATTATTATGTTTAAGGTGAGTATCAAGTGTGAAATATTTGATTTTGTTGTTCTGTATGATAAATGAGTGAACCCCAAAGAATCTTAAAAGATTGGATAATACCAGGATCTGGCCAGGGAGCTGAGTATAGATTATGACTGGCCACTCGCATCCCAGAATGCTCAGGTACCAGAAAAGGTCATTCACAGGATATGATTTGGTTTCTCGGTTCAAACAGATTATTAGATTGAAGGAGGGAAATCCGAAATTACCCTTATGGATAAGGTGACTATCAAGTGTGAAACATTTGATTTTGCCGTTTTCTTTGATAGACGAGTAAACACTAAAGTATCTTAACAGATTGGATTTTTCCAGGATCTGGCTAGGTAGCTGAGTGTATAGTATGACTGGCCATTCGCATCCCAGAATGCCCGTATACAAGAGCGGCCAGTCAATCCCTATTGCAGACGCCTGCTCAGGCATGTGTTTTTGCTCAACACCCACAGATACCACCTGTGTTTTATACTACAACTATGATGATCGGGTTTCGGTTTATTGGTGAGCGCCTTATCAACAATCTGAACAAGGACAGCACGATCAAAACCTCGGTCACGATGACTTGTGACTTCGTGCTAGCACAACCATTGAGTGTTTGCCAAAGTGTTCCGTTTTCCCTGCGTCCTTCACAAGTCTTGGGTCACCTTGTGGCAATGTTTTCATGTACTCTCCAAATATGACACACGCTGGGATCACCTCGCCGAGATAGATGACATCAAGATGACAACTTCTTGACAATTCGATCATAGTGAGATTCGAACCCGGATCTCATCATCAGAATGCAAACGTTCTAATCGGTCATGTACCCATTAGGGAGCTGAAGATGACTTTTGAAATAATTCCTGTAGTAAGGTATTCTCTCGTGAAACCATTTCTCAAATTGAAAGATTGATTAAGGGTAATTGGAATATTGTAGCCCACGAGAAAACTGCCATCATTTATTCTGTGAGGAATCTCTGACAAGTTCTTTAGTTGACACAATGCCTCAAGAACGGAATTTACATTGACTACTTTAATGGGCTTCACCAATATAATAATAATTATCAAAATACTTATTATCAAGCGTTAGCATGATTTGTATAATCCTCTTTTCGTCTTGATTAGATTATGTTCTTAATTATATTTTTTTATGACGGCGGCTTATCGGAAAAAAATCTCATTTCTTTCTTTCTTTTCTCTTTTCTCTTTCTTTCTTTATTTTTTTCTTACCTTTCTTTTTTTCTTTCTTTCTTTTCTTTCTTGCCTTCTTATTTTCTTTCTTTCTTTCTTGCTTTTTTTTCTTTCTTTCTTTCTTTCTTTCTTTCTTTTTTGTTAAAGTGATCAGATCAAATGATTAGAATTGGAGGCTACATGGAGAACATAGCAACGAAGCGTAGAAAAGCATTTTACCCGGGAATTAAGGTTAGTTCGGAGACCTTGTTTCAGTTTTACATTAGCAGGTTACATAAATGTCCTTAATTCATTAACGAACACTTCACATTGGTTGGTACTATACATTTACAATATATATATATATATATATATATATATATATATATATATATATATATATATATATATATATATATTGTGTGTATTTGGGCATCTTTTCATTCATACACGTTTCATTAAATAATATAGACAAGTGTTGTCTATTTATTTTATGTAATTTTTTTTCATAACGTCTGATACGTTTAATAACATTATCGTTGAACGAAGAAAGAAATTCACAATATTGATCCATATTTTTTTTTAATATAATCTAAGTTTTCGGCTTACTTAAGCCATTATCAAATATGTCAATTACAACATGTTAAGCAATATACGGACAAGACAGTGATGATAGTCTGTTTACATAGATGATTTCTTAGCAACGATAAATACGTGCATATAAGACGCTAGAAGCGAAAATCGCACCGCATTTCATGACGTCACACATGACCACACGAAGGTGAATTGGAGAAGTATGAAGTATGGGAAGCCGTTGGTATAAACCAATGGCTTCTGTTATCAATTATAGATCTTTCTTCGTTCAACGATAATGTGCTTTTTACTGCAACTACTTAAAAGATCTTAGTTACAGTTTCTGGGAGAAAGAACATGTTCTCTAGCGTGAGCAACAATTTGAACAAAGGCAAGCACGATCAAACCCTCGGCCACAATGACATGTGGCTTTGTGCTAGCACGGCTATCGACGACACTCAAGATTTCTATCTACCCGACTTCACTCACAATGTTTTCGTTAACATCTGGTATGGTTTTCAGATAATTTCTAAACGTGCTTCACGCTGGGATCGATCCATTCCGATAACATCAGGGTCTCATGGTCAGAAAGCGAACATTCTAACCCCTCAGGTACGCGCAAATATATATATATATATATATATATATATATATATATATATATATATAGGGGTGCGGCTGGTATTTGAGGACATACAGATTTAAGATTAAACTGCTTCCCACTAACTTCTAATGCTTTTATTTTTCACAAATCAAGAATGGCAAGCCCTATGATAACAAATGAAATGAAAATGCATTCTGTGATTGTGGCATTAAGGGCTGATCATAGCGATTTGTATATTGCACGTTTCCTCAAAGTTGCAAGATCGTTTGTCCACAAGATACGAAAAGAGTTAGAAGACGCAGACAGTTCCCCAATATCTGTATCAAAACGTAAAAGACATTCTGCAAGTCCTGATAAAGTGAGAACATCCAAATTTATTCAGGAGGTCAAGCAAACAATTGATGAAAACCGAGGTCAATCAATGAGGTCAATTGTCAAAATGCTGCATGTGTCTGAAGTTACAATCAGAAGGAGTGTTCATGAAGACATTTGATACAAGTCCTACGTGATGAAGAGAGGTTAATTTATGTCTGAAAGAAAACAAAAGAAAACCGTTTAAACAGATCCAAAAGGCTTTTGAACAAACTTAAAAATCCTTCAGAAACTGGTGTGATTTGTTTTTTCTCAGATGAGAAAAAATTTTGATCAAGATCAGAAACTGTTGAAACTTGACTAATGCATGGAATAATAATACAACACAAAATGTACTTAGAACAAAATGTATTGAAACAAGAAATTGTACACAATATTTACATATAGTCTTTTGTATAATCTTGGGAAGACCGTTCCTGGAGAATGTGTTGACTTAGTCGCAGTCGGGCAGAGTCTCTGGATTGAATCTTTTGATTTCTCCCCTCGTCTTCCCGGTACCAACCATATTTATATGGTCGGTACTCCACTATGAAAATTAGGTGGATCCTACCACAACAAAAACGTAACAGAAGAAATCACAGATGGTTCTGTTCAGATCCTTCTGAGGTACCATGAGTGATGCGCACAAAATTTCCTTCAATCGTTATGTTATTGGGTGTTGTTAGCAATAAAGGACACGTTACACCACCACACTTTTTTCCTCAAGGTCTGAGAGAAAATGCTGCTGCTTACACTGAGGGTCTAGAAACAGTTGTCAAGCCCTGGATTGACAACATATGCAACGGCAGGCCTTATATATTCCAGCAAGACTCGTCTCCATCCCACAAGACTCTACTAACACAAGAATGGATGGCTGACCATTTGTATGACCACATCAGACCCAACGTTTGACCTCATAACTCTCCAGTAGACTATTATGCGTGGTGCTTTGTTGAGAAGGAGATTAATAAACAGCCTCATAACACCAAATACTCTCTTAAAGCTGCAATACTTCGAATAATGTCTGATATAAATAAGGATCAATTGATCAGAGCTTTCAGCCGATTTCAACCTCGTATAGAGGCAGTTATTGACGCTAGTGGTGGTTTTATTGAATTAAATGAAATAACAGTTAGCTAAATTCATGTTTACTTGTTTGTAAACAAATATAATTATATTCATTTGTCCAGCAACTTTTTTACAAATTCATAAAATCTGTCCTCAAATACCAGCCGCACCCTGTACACACACACACACACACACACACACACACACACACACACATATATATATATATATATATGTATGTATTATTTCTAAATAATTAATGGTATATTATTTTTATTCCAACATTTTAAATGACTTCCTATCTTATTTGTGAGGGATACCCATATTTCAGTAGACGCCCTGTTTTAAACAATTTACACACACACATATGTACTCCCCACACACATCCACACACTTCAATGAATCGTTTCGCAGCGCTCGTGTGTATAATGTATGTAAGTGTAACATAATTCTAGTTTATCAAAATAACGCCTACTACTACTACTACTACTACTATCACGCACATACAAACACATGCACACATACACATACATACGTATATAGATTATCATGTAGATCTCGCATTGATAAGCTTGAATTATGAAACATTTACAAACAGAAATTATGAACATAAATTTAAGTAAAGACAAAAGGAAAACCTAGCCAACGCCTTTCGTCCATTTACGGACGATATCAAAGTAAATTTAAGGATGTCTATATAAGATCAAAAATGTTATTGCTTTTCCAAAAATGTTAAGTTTACGACAAGTTATAAATATTTATAAGGCTAGCAGAAAAGTAAACTATGGAAGACACGAAGTAACACAAAAAGAAAAGTTTTCCTTTTGTGTTTATTCATATTGACCTTTTACATATATAATCTGTATCTGAAAATTTGTGCACACGCCCCCCCACATACACTCATATATAAATGTATGTATGTGTGTGTGTGTGTGTGTGTGTGTGTGTGTGTGTGTGTGTGCATTAAATGAAACCATAATATAGTGAATGATCGTACTTCAAATTGACGTAATAAAAATGGCGGATTAAAAATAAATTATTCACACACACACACACACACACAGACACACACACACACACATATATATATATATATATATATATATATATATATATATATATAATATTAGTAGAGAGCTCAATGTATAAGAAATAATTACAAATCATATAGAGCAATATAATTAAGAAAAAACTTCAAAGAAAAACCTATTTGAATTTCCTAGCTATAAGCTTAAATTTATTTCGCAGTTGGTTTACACTGCATCTTCAGGCTGGTTGAAATGCACCAATAATTTTTTTCTTCAAAATCTTTTCTTAATATATATATATATATATATTCTACAGAAAATATTCTGTTCAAGTGAGTTTTG